ATTATCAATAATTATGATATCATATTGGGTGGGTTCTGGTGGCTGGTTTGGATTATTGGGTGGGTTGCACCCCCCCATAACTCTGACTCTAGGACTTGATGCAATTGCTTTAAATGGAATAGTCTTCAACAAAGGGCAAAAACACAAAAAGCCAGTCAGCCATTACATTTTCTAAAATCTTATTGTTTCCACTGTTTTTCTCTGAATGATAATATGACTATTTCCTGCACTGCAGTTAATACATCCTGTGGTTAGAAAAGGAGGAACACACAACCATGACACATACATGAATTCTGGTTTGTTATTTCTGGTAAAACCGAAAGGTAACCAACATTCATTATGTATTATCAGAGTATCCTATTGGTCCACGGTAAGTTCAATGTTGGGTTTGTTTTAAATGAAGATTTAGAACGAAATGAAGAAAATTGAAGCTGCATAATTTAAATGTATTTATTTACAAATATATCAAAATGTATAAAAAAGAGATGCATAAAAAAGGAAGCAAATGCCTCATATGCCATGGCAACAGGGGTGATAAAATAGGAATGTAATATACATAAATTCTGATTTGTTATTTCAGGTATTCGTGAAGATAACCAACATTAGAGTAAACTACTGGTCTATGGTAAGTTCATTTTTGGGTTTGAAGAATCATAAAGAAATAAATAAAAATTGAAGCTGCAGAATTTAAATGTATTTCTTTTAAAGTATATAAAAATGTATAAACAAGAGATGCATAAAAAAGGCAATAAAAGCATCATATGGATTCAAAAGAGAATCTGCTGGACTTAACACTCATCAGCAGACACAGATGTGTGTCCTCTAACATGCTGCAACATCTGGACTGATATGTTGAAGTCACTCTTGTTCACTTTGTCACCTTGTGTGTTTCTGCATCACTAAAGAGTTTGTGTTTTTTTACACTGTGGTGTCCGAGATGAAGCTTGTTGTTTGAAGTTGATCATCTTGTCAACAGAAGGTGTCCGCTGCCTGAGGCCCTCCTGCTCGTTCTCTTGATGCATTAAAGGCGTTCTGTTCCTTTAAGGGGGAAAAAAACATTCTGGTGAATTTCTTCAACAATCATCAACACTTATTGGTTATATCAACAAACAATATTTACAACATTCTTATAAAAAATTAATTGTCTCACATGAGAGGTTTCTCAGTAGGTAGCGTTGTTTTGATCACCTCAGGGTCCTCCTTATTCTTACACCAAGATATGGGGCTGGATGGAAATCAGAAAAACACAAAGAAGAACTGATTATGGGGGAATTCAGCATAAAGTGATGATAACAAACAACAGTTCAGCGCTAGCGTAGAGTAACATAAATCAAAGCACTAAAAGTAGTCTTATGTTAATAATCTATGATAATCTTCAAGAGGATCCACAGGAGGCCAAGCGGGGCCTCGAGCCATGCTACAGCTAATGTTAGCATAGCTTAATTTAAGGGAACTATTTCAGTGTGCTGAGACAGGCTAAATAACACTGACATCAATCATCACATCCACACAGGGTTAGGAGTAAAAAAAACAAATAATAATAGTAAATAATAATAACAAACACTTGTATTGCAAACTGTACCTGTTCAGTAGTTTTCATCTCAGAAAGCACAGAAGAACCACTAAAGAGACTATCACAACTGCTGCGATGACCAGAGTAATACCAGCGACATTAGATCCAGTGTCGACCTTTGAACCTGATAAAAAAAAAACTTCATAAATACAACGTTGACCATGTGTAGAAATAATAATGCATAATAATGATTCTCACCATCTTCAGACGACAGCTGGACTGCAGGAATCATCACAGAGTCCTTCTTCAGAGGAACGGAGGGCACTTGAACTTCACATTCAACCTGTGTGCTGTTGTCATAGCTACGCCTCAGCACACCTGTGGTGTAACAGTGACCGTACCGTTTGTGTTTTTGAAACTGTGTGTAGAAAAGTTGAGTTTGTGATGCAGGACACTTAATGTGACAGTGGGAGCAGGTCGACCCGTAGCTGAGCAGAAAACAATGACCTCTTCAGAAAAGTTTGATTCTCTGACGTGAAGAACGGGTCCATGCAGCTCTGAAAATACAAGATGAAAGTTATAGAAGAAACTCGAGGGATGACATGAATGTGTTGTATTACTAAAGCAGGTACTGACCGTAGAGTTTGAGGCAGGTTGTAGCAATGAGAGCTCCATCAGGGTAGGTGTTAAACATGCAGCGATAGCAGCCTTCATCCTCCTCCGTCACGTTCCTGATCAGGATGGAGCTGTTCTGCAGTCCAGCATTAATTAACTCCACTTTACCTTGAAAACCAAGGTTCACCAGTTTCTTGGAATATTTGTTGTAGGTGGCCACATTACTCTCTCCGTCAGGTAGAATCTTCTGCCAGGTGACTTGATGAACGTCCTTAGATTTCATGAGCTGACAGTTTAAGCAGGCCTGTTCTCCCACTGCTGCCATCACAGTGTGCTCAGTTTGTATCAGAGCTGCTGGAGCTGCAGAGACACAGAAACATTGTTTGACTCAAAACTTGATTCCTTTAATCAATAATTTTCACAATTAAGAGGCACAGACACATGGATTTTTAACAAAGTTTTTACATCTATAACTCAAAATCATTCAAAAAGTGATCTCAAAGCAATAAAAGTTAATCTAGTGTGAGAGAGGCTGCATGTTTCAGTATTTTCAGACACAACAGAAACTCTGTCACTTTGGTTGCTATGTTACAGACTACAATATGAGGTAGTCTACAAACACACTGATGAAGCCGGGTTCATTAGGGTTTGTTTTTCTCTGCAAAATATCAAACAGAATATGAGTTAAACCAGGAACTATGCAAAAGTGTTTCAAATAAACCGCCAGAAATGTGGCGCCAAAATACCTAACTAAAATTAATTTAGAAAACAGGAACACAGCTGCGTTCAGATTAACAAAAAATACATAAAGACTAAAAGTTATAGCCTGAGCATTAAACATTTCTTACCTTTCTGAGAGACTGTCAGCACAAATAGAGAGAGAATAAGTGCACGCTGCGCCATATCTTTCCTGCAACCGCCACTAAACTAAAGTGAAAGTAATGAAAGTACCGAGCTCTGATATGAAGCCGCTTTGTGTTGGTTAAAATCTGGATCAACAGAGACCTCTAGTGGCCACAAGGTGCAACTGCTGTTGATATAAAAAAAGAGAGGACAATGTGGTCACTTCTTTTTTTTCCTTTTTTTTTTTTAAACAAAATAAGTATTATGGTCATACATGGAGCTACTGGTTTGGAAATGCTGGACAAATACATTTAGGTTGTAAATCAATCACACATAACCATGACACAGAATCAGAATCAGAAATACTTCATTAATCCCAGAGGGCGATTGAGTGACATAATTGCACTTAAGCACAAAATAGCAGTAGAAATATAGTTATATACACAACAATAAAATAGGAATGTAATATACATGGATTCTGATTTGTTATTTCTCTTAATAGTGAAGATAACCAACATTAGAGTAAACTACTGGTCTATGGTAAGTTCATTTTTGTGTTTGAAGAATCAAAGAAATAAATAAAAATTGTAGCTGCAGAAGTTAAATGTATTTCTTGAAAAATATATAAAAATGTATAAACAACCGATGCATAAAAAAGGCAGCAAATACATCATATGGATTCAAAAGAGAATCTGCTGGACTTAAGACTCAGACAGACATAGATGTGTGTTCTCTAACATGCTGCAACATCTGGACTGATATGTTGAAGTCACTTGTAACACTCAGGATACAAAATTGACTTTAACTAAAATATGTATTTATAAATAATAAATTATCAAAAAAACAAGATGTAACAAATTAAGGTGTACCAGGCTAATGTAGGTTAGACTCTTGGAGCTGGTGGATAATTAATTAAACACACGACACAGAATGTTGATAACCGGTTTTGTATTTCAAAATTCAATTTTTAACAAATAACAAAAAACATCAAGGAAATCCCACAATTTAAATAAAAGAAAATAGGCCTTCAATTACCAGATTCTTGAGGGCACCTTTTACCCTCCATACAACATATGCTAAATATTCCCAATTCTATTTGTATAAATCAATGCACAGAAACACATTACACATACTGCAGTTACTTGTTATGTGTGTGCAGATGTCCAACGAATTCAAATGTTTATTTAGGTAGGGGAAATCCTACCGCACCCTTTAACCAACCCTTTGAGGCCTGCCTTTTGAGGGTATCTACTTGAGTCTTTTGAAGTTGCTCCTTTAGCTCGCCATCTTCTTTGCTCCGGCAATATGGCCTGACCTGTTTAGGCAAACAGGTAACAACATCACAAGTCTGCTCAACTTGGGAGCAGCATTTTAATCAATGTTCTATTGTGGATGTCCCACCAGTGTTCAGTCCTGAAACATTCTTCAGCAGCAGCAGCAGCAGCAGCAGCACAGCAGCTCCTCAAGGGCTTGAAGTCTCAGTTCAGTTAAGTCCAGCTTTGTGTCCAGGGTTGAAAGCACAGTGTTTTTCTTTCAGAAGTTCTCCTTGACTGTTTTAGGAATGACAGTGTCCTGCTGCCTTCTGACTGATTTCTTGATTGGTTTCAATCAGGTGCTTAGTGCACCTGGGGAAAGGGGTAGATGCCTGTTGGCTGCAGACTGCATCCAATTGGCTCAGGATTTGAATGACAGATGCTGTTGTCCAATGTCAGCAGTGTTAGACACTCTTCTTCACTTTGTCACCTTGTGTGTTTCTGCATTACTAGAGTAGTGTTTTTTTACACTGTGGTGTCCGAGATGAAGCTTGTTGTATGAAGTTGATCATCTTGTCAGCAGAAGATGTCCACTGCCTGAGGCCCTCCTGCTCGTTCTCTTGATGCATTAAAGGCGTTCTGTTCCTTTAAGGGGGAAAAAAACATTCTGGTGAATTTCTTCAACAATCATCAACACTTATTGGTTATATCAACAAACAATATTTACAGCATTCTTATAAAAAATTAATTGTCTCACATGAGAGGTTTTTCAGTAGGTAGCGGTGTTTTGATCACCTCAGGGTGCTCCTTGTTCTTACACCAAGATGTGAGTTGAATGGAAATCTGAAAAACACAAAGAAGAACTGATTATGGGGGAATTCAACATAAAGTGATGATAACAAACAACAGTTCAGCGCTAGCGTAGAGTAACATAAATCAAAGCACTAAAAGTAGTCTTATGTTAATAATCTATGATAATCTTCAAGAGGATCCACAGGAGGCCAAGCGGGGCCTTGAGCCATGCTACAGCTAATGTTAGCATAGCTTAATTTAAGGGAACTATTTCAGTGTGCTGAGACAGGCTAAATAACACTGACATCAATCATCACATCCACACAGGGTTAGGAGTAAAAAAAAAAAAAACTGTTCAATAATAACAAACACTTGTATTGCAAGCTGTACCTGTTCAGTAGTTTTCATCTCAGAAAGCACTGAGTTCTTTTTTGGTCATTTACATAGCAGCCTCAACCATCAGTGTGTCGAAAGTGTAGGTGTGTAGGTGTATTTGTATTGCTTTGTTTGATCAGAACATCTCAGTGTAACAGCATAAAAGATCTGTACCTGTTCAGTAGTTTTCGTCTCACAGAAGAGCACAGAAGAAAGCACAGAAGAACCACTAAAGAGACTATCACAACTGCTGCGATGACCAGAGTAATATCAGCGTCATCAGATCCAGAGTCGACCTTTGAACCTGATAAAAAAAAAAACTTCATAAATACAACGTTGACCATGTGTAGAAATAATAATGTATAATAATGATTCTCACCATCTTCAGACGACAGCTGGACTGCAGGAATCATCACAGAGTCCTTCTTCAGAGGAACGGAGGGCACTTGAACTTCACATTCAACCTGTGTGCTGTTGTCATAGCTACGCATCAGCAAACATGTGGTGTTAACAGTGACCGTACCGTTTGTGTTTTTGAAACTGTGTGTCGAAAAGTTGAGTTTGTGATGCAGGACGTTTAATGTGACAGTGGGAGCAGGTCGACCCGTAGCCGAGCAGAAAACAATGACCTCTTCAGAAAAGTTTGATTCTCTGACATGAAGAACGGGTCCATGCAGCTCTGAAAATACAAGATGAAAGTTATAGAAGAAACTCGAGGGATGACATGAATGTGTTATATTCCTAAAGCAGGTACTGACCGTAGAGTTTGAGGCAGGTTGTAGCAATGAGAGCTCCATCAGGGTAGGTGTTAAACATGCAGCGATAGCAGCCTTCACCCTCCTCCGTCACGTTCCTGATCAGGATGGAGCTGTTCTGCAGTCCAGCATTAATTAACTCCACTTTACCTTGAAAACCAAGGTTCACCAGTTTCTTGGAATATTTGTTGTAGGTGGCCACATTACTCTCTCCGTCAGGTAGAATCTTCTGCCAGGTGACTTGATGAACGTCCTTAGATTTCATGAGCCGACAGTTTAAGCAGGCCTGTTCTCCCACTGCTGCCATCACAGTGTGCTGAGTTTGTATCAGAGCTGCTGGAGCTGCAGAGACACAGAAACATTGTTTGACTCAAAACTTGATTCCTTTAATCAATAATTTTCACAATAAAGAGGCACAGACACATGGATTTCTAACAAAGTTTTTACATCTATAACTCAAAATCATTCAAAAAGTGATCTCAAAGCAATAAAAGTTAATCTAGTGTGAGTGAGGCTGCATGTTTCAGTATTTTCAGACACAACAGAAACTCTGTCACTTTGGTTGCTATGTTACAGACTACAATATGAGGTAGTCTACAAACACACTGATGAAGCCGGGTTCATTAGGGTTTGTTTTTCTCTACAAAATATCAAACAGAATATGAGTTAAACCAGGAACTATGCAAAAGTATTTCAAATAAACTGCCAGACATGTGGCGCCAAAATACCGAAACTAACTAAAATTAATTTAGAAAACAGAAACAGCTGCGTTCAGATTAACAAAAAATACATAAAGACTAAAAGTTATAGCCTGAGCATTAAACATTTCTTACCTTTCTGAGAGACTGTCAGCACAAATAAAGAGAGAATAAGTGCACGCTGCGCCATATCATTCATTCACCCACCACCAAAGTGAAAGTACAGAAAGCCGCACGTGTTGGTTAAAATCTGGATCAACAGAGACCTCTAGTGGCCATGAGGTGCAACTGCTGTTGATAATATGCAGTAGCTGACACTAAGTTATTTACACGTTATTGATGCACATTCCTGCACAACTGTTCAGCTCTTCCATTGCACCTTTTTCTACATTATTATATTAAATTATCAGACAAACAGATGATTCTGGACTGAGTCATTAAAACTCATATATATAAACTGACTGATATTGTTAGATGACAGTCAGCAGGTAAAATGAGGTTAAAAGAAAGTAATCGCTACACTTAACTTAATTAAATATGAACCAAAAGCGACCTCTAGTGGACAAAATGTGTAATTGCTGCTGATCATTTGCAGCTGACATTGAGTTAGAACATTTTAACACGAAACAAATAACAGGATCATAACTTGAATTGATGGATATACATGAAAAATTATATTTTCTTCTTGTACTTTCATCATGTTGAGTTGATTAAACTCATTCAGGGGAAATATGACACTATTGATCAGGTGAATTAAACACAGCAGCTTCTGGTGTGCAGTCTGTGCTGTTTTTTTTAATAACAAATTCATTTATGACTAAAGAAATAATACTTCACAATGTTTTCAGTCACATCATTATTCCCCATCATTATATAAAAAAAAGTCAAAATTTCATTCAAAGAGATGCAAAAATCTCTCACAAAGACATTATGTACATTATTAGTCATACAAAGGCAGATGTCAGATTTAAAAATGACATTTTAAAAAATAAAACAGATTTAAAATTCATGTAAACAGAGAAGGGTATCAAAATGTTTTTTAAAAGACTTTTCTTATCAAAGCTTAAAAAATCAGAAGTACATAAAACACGGCTCTTCCATCAATTTGTGAATCACAGCTTTTCACGGTTACTCAGAAAACTGAGTTCATCTGATCAATCACTCAAACAGTCTCCTGGATGAAACTGGTGTTGGATTTGTGTTTGTTCTCTCTTCAGTCTTCACAGGAGTTGATCGAAGTCGGACCTGTACGTTCTCCTGTGGAGACTCTTGGGTCCTTGAGAAAGAATACAAAACATATAAACTAATCTCTCAATAGAAGTCATACTTTAGGATTTGTTTTTTTTGAGTAGGAAGATATGGAGGAAGGCAGGACGTACAAAATGTAACAGATTTAAGAGAACTAATGGTTTCTTACTTCTGAGGGTCTTCATCTGTAGTTCCTGGTATCTCATTCATATGGACCTCGTATGACAGATTGAAGGATTTAAGAACAGTTAGAGGAGGACAAACATTTATAGATTTAAAAACTTACACATAAGTATTGATTAGAAGAAGTACCTGTTCTGAGGTTTGTGTCTACGCCAGAGGAAGACGACTGCAGTGATGATACCACAGGTTGTTAAAGCTGATATAATGATTGAAGTTCTACCTTTGAGGGGAAAAAGAGGAGAAAATGTTTAAAATGATGCAGACAAACTTTAAAGAATCTACATCTGATCATTTACTTACTGCGACTGCTGCTATTAACTCCTGACTTTTCATCAGGGAGCGACTTTTTGACCTCAGGAATCATCTTAAACACCTCTTTGTGAACGCCATAGGAGCCCCCTACTGTGCACATGACCTGTATGCTGTTGTCATGACGACGAGAGAGCACAGCTGTCTCAGTGACGGTGACTGTATTGTTGTTGTTCCTGACTGAGACAGAAGTGTTGTGGAAGAAGTTCAAGTCTTGGTGAGGGAGCGTTATTGTCACAGTGGGGGCGGGTCGACCCGTAGCCGAGCAGGAAACAACGACCTCTTCAGGAGAGTTTGATTCTCTGACATGTAGGACGGGTTCATGCAGCTCTGTGAAGAAAATTAAACATTATCAAAGTGCCTCTCGTCCAATCAGATTACAGCGTTTGAACTAACTGTCCTACAATTTGAAGAGTCGCATGAATGAAGTTACAGGAGATACTTTAAGTGTTTCAAACTTTATTATTTATCAAAATTAGGAGAACAATGCTAAAGCTTGCAGTTGGGTTGCATTGCAATGCATCCTGGGACATGTAGGCACCTTTGGCAAGCAGGAGAACAATAGCTGTCTTAATCCAAATAAGACACATGGAGGATTCTTTGCTTTTCTTTGGTTGGATTAAATTCTTATCCACACTAATGGAAGATAAACACAAACCCTCTGCTTATCTAAGTTGGACCCACATTATGGAAATGGCTGCACTTTCTGCAGAGGCTCTCAGAGTGTCTTTGGAGCAGCTTGGCCCAGGTGCAATAATCTGTATTCATTCTGGCTCCAGTGCTATCTTTTGACATGGTTGGCCAAAGAACAACAGGATATATCAGTTTTGATATCCACATACAACCTGGCAACATTTCAACTACAATAATTATGGACAAAGTTGCATATTTTACCATGGACGTTCAGGCAGATCGTAGCAATGAGAGCTCCATCAGGGTAGGTGTTAAACATGCAGCGATAGTAGCCTTCATCCTGCTCCGTCAAGTTCCTGATCAGGATGGAGGTGTTCTGCAGTCCAGCATCTGAAACTCCACCTTACCACTAAAGTAAGGGTCCACTCTTTGACCGAAGTGCAGGTTGTCAGTGGCGACGGTCCTCTCTCCATCAGGTAGAATCTTCTGCCAGGTGACTTGATGAACTTCTTTGGTTTGAATCAGCAGACAGTTTAAGCAGGCCTGCTCTCCCACAGCTGCGGCCACATTCCTCTGTGCTTGTATCACAGAGTTTAGACCTGAAGGAGAGGACAAGTGTATGTTTCTTTATCATTGGGCCCATTGAATGTGTTGTTCCTGTTGTCCTGGGGTCAATCTGACCCCAAATAAAATCTTTTGCTGTCAAATGTGTTTTTTATTCATCAAATGGTCTGAAAATAATGGGGGTTGTTCAGGCCTCTGCAGCAGCTCCCCAACACCCAAAAAACAGGAGCAAATTCTGCCCTCGCCAGAGTGATCTCAAAACATTGGAAATGTGCCAAAAGTGCAGTGCATATACAGATCATGACATTACTACCTGCCTCACATGCAGGCATGTAAATGAGGTCTTATCGGCCTTAAATCTCAAATGGAATAAAAAAATGGTGCTAATGTGTTTGAATGAAGTTGTTACTAAAGGTGTAACACAGAATTGGGTTTAAAAATCCACTTTATATTCTTTAAATTACAGTCAAACCAGACAGGGTCAATTTGACCCCAGAGGACAGGTGGTGTATTGCAATCGGGAGGACAACACGAGGGTTAAAACAGGTTAAAATGTACTGGACTGTGTATTATTATAGGGAGGTGTTTCTATTTCTGTTGGCACACCACCCCTTCATTTATTAAACACCACCCCTTCCTATGACTTCGTTAAAGGTGCACTATGTAGTTTTGGTAGAAATGTACAGATTCTGTGGTATATGTTCATAACTTTATACACAAAATGTCCTCAGGGACCCATTTTTTCTTTTTAGTAAAGTTTGTGTATTCAGTTCGGAAATATAGCATAGAATTGTTTCACTTCTCCAACTTTCTAATTTCACCACTTATCTTTTCTTTTTTCAATGCATGATTTGATTAAAAACTTAAATTCAACTATCAACTTGTTCAACTTTTGCATTCTTCCAAAAATATTTATGCACCAAAGCCGTAAACATGAGTACACAGTAACAACTGTAACTGTTCTTTGTGAGTAAGGTGAGTCTAAATAACTTGGACATGTGCAAAATGTGACACAAATATTACCGAACACGTTTTTCTTACCTTTGTGAAATACTGCAGACACGAAGAGGAAATATAAAAGCGCGCTGTTTGCCATCTTTCACCCATAATGTCTCACACATCCCGCCAAAACTACTACTTCTTCTTCTTCTTTAGATTTTATCGGCAGCTGGTATCCAAAAAGTTGCATTACTGCCATCTGCTGGATTTAATTATTACTCACATTCTTAAATCCTCAATAAACCTGTTCTCAAGAGATATTTAAACAAGCATCTTCGTCCTCTCCCTCTCTCCCCACACTCCAAAATACTTTTGAAATCTCTTCTTACGAGTCCCTCTCTCTCCATTTCTGACATCATGTTATGTCTACATACTTTCTACATTTAATAACTACATGTTCAACTGTTTCTGCTAGATTGCATATCTCACAAAGACCGGATGAATGTTTTCCAATGATATGTAGAGTACTATTTAAATGACTGTGACTGATTCTTAACCTGGACATTACGACCTCCTCTCTTCTGTTGCTCCCTCTGTGTTTTACTTTATCTATTTCCCTCTGAATTGAGTATAAATGTCTTCCCTTTGTCTGATTGTTCCAATATTGTTGCCATTCCTGTTTAATTTTACTCCATGTGACTCGTTTCCCCTCTGACTGAGATCATTTGATGTTAATATCAATCCTCTCTTTCTTTACAGCTTCCTTTGCCAACCTGTCCACCTTTTCATTTCCTGCTATACCTGAATGTGCTGGAACCCACATGAACATCACATCTGTCCCGTTTAACCACCTGGGAATGTGTAAATATGATTTCATATAATAAATCTTGACTGTGAGATGATCCTGATTGAATACTGTATAAAGCGCTGACTGAATCACTGCATATCAGCACTTTCCTTCCTTTCATTTGCTCAACACATTCTAATGCAACTAAAATGGCGTATAACTCTACTGTGTACACGTTCAGGAAATCTGACGTTCTCTTCACTACTTCAACATTGAATTTTGGGATAAACGCAGCTGATCCTGTTGAATTTGTCACAGGGTCTTTAGATCCATCTGTGAATACTTGTACATGATCTCCATATCTCTGTTCTATGTTTTCATAGAATTCACTAATCAACATTTCTTTTTCTTTCCTTTATCTTTAGTAACTCCAAGTCTACTTGAGCTGTCTCAAGCATCCACATTGGAACTGGTGGCCATAAAACAGTTGGACTGATATCCTTGTCATACACTCCCATATCTCTCGCCACTCTATCCCCTATCCATCCAAAACTGGACTTAATTGTTCTCTCTTTCTCCCAGCAATCCTTTAACACTGATTTCCGCCAAAATTTAGACAAGAACAATTGGTAAAAGTTGCTGTACCTGGGTGACGTCATCGTCCAGGCCGTGAGTGGCACACAGACCGGGGGTGGCATATGTACAGATTATCATCAAACATGAAGCAACAAATGCGTACAGTAGCCTAATGTAATTAAAACAGATTTATAACTAAATACCTTTATTTTGTTAAATTATGACCAGCTAGCAGTTTAA